CGATCACTTAGAAGAAGCTCCAAACTGGAAGCTCTGCGCGTTTTTAGAGCGCAGCTTAGGATTTTGTCTATCGAAAAAAAAATAAAGAAGGTTTAAGCCGGGTACCCTAGTCGGACTCCGCTTGTGATGGTGGATGAAGGGAAGATGCGATCATAGACTTTGATGCGGCCTGATGTTTTTGAATAGATGGCTTTGAGATTTACGTACTTTTCAGGCACACCGCTTCATAACAGACAAGTCCAACGAGTTACCCTGTCGACTGAGTCAAATGCAGCACGTATATCCGGAAAGACAATGGTGGTTGGTCCACTAACGTTTGGTGTTGTGTGGTGTAAATGTGCTTAATGCTACTCCGGCCGGAGCGGAATTCAGCTTGTTCTTCGCGATTGCTCGAAGGATCAGCGATGTTAGCACCTTGGATGCAAAGGAAACGAAACTAATTCCTCGATGATTTGAGCAATCCTGGCTGGGGCTCTTCATGAATACAGGTACGACTTCCGCCAAACTTCATTCGGATGGAATGAATTCAATATTACAGATGTTTTTTTCTACTACACACATTTGTGTGGTGAACAACAGACGGGGCGAACCCCATGTTCACGAAAACCTGCTGTTCCGTCATGGCAACCGGTAACCCAAGCCCCGGGACTTGGCGTGGCGAACCATATAAGGCCCCGATAGGTTAGGCGTGGTACTGAACTGGACGACAAAAAAGAAGCTTACCACCACAGTTGGGTGGCGGTGCCGGGCCTCGGGCCATAGGGTCCAAAGCACGCCAGTGACGGCGACTAAACCACTGCACCACCACCAATTAGTTATCGGACAACGCTCGCAACACCGTCTTTGAAAACGACCGGAGGGAGCTCATCTGGACCGGCCGATTTGTGGCATTTCAGCGGTCGGCTCTCCGGATACTTCTTCCTCGGTAGGCGATGAAATGTCTCCAGACCATGGAGCACTGCGTACATCAGATGGTGATGCCGATGTCGAACTGATTTGCTGATGCAAGTGCTCCGCCCAGCACCCGAGCCGACGTTGTAGACTGGATACATTCGCCATCAGTTTCATATATAGTTTCACTGAAGCATAGCCTTTTGTCACCGGTGGCTCAGATTGGTCGAAAAAGTTTGTGAGCATTACCGGAAGTAGAGGCTTTTTCCACCCCGGAAGCGCGTTGTGCCCACCAGGTCTCTCGGTCCTCTTTAGAAACCGTTTCAGTTCACTACTGAGAGTCCTGCGAGCTGCTGTATTCATTCCCCGGACGGATGCTTCAGCGAGTTTCAAGTAGTTCGAGAATTCGTGCCCAAACCCAGTTGTGGACGATGCGTTTGGTGAAACTATATTTTGTGGTCGCAGACTTGGCGTTACGGATGTGAGCCCACTGGATATCAACGTTCGAGGACAACAGACTGTCTAGATCAGCAGCTAACTTGTTTCAGTAGGCAGTAACTACGTTAGGGTCGGTCAATTTCATCAAATCGAGTCTTCTCGGGTGACGTTTTCCACCAAACCTCAGAAAATTGTGCGTAGTCAGTGCCGCAACATGCGTTCCAAATAGAGTTGCATTCCGTTATGCCATTTCTCCATCGGTAGCTAATGGTAATATGATCTATTGATCAAACGATAGAGGTCGCCAGGTGGCTGTGGGCGCCATGGTTGAAAAAGTTGATGCTAGAGAGGAGAATACTATGTTCAGCGCATTTTTGCAGGAAATGGTCGTCGTTGTTAGTTCTCTTAACACCGATGCTATACTTTTTATTACACACCTAAGTGTGATGAAGAGCAGACGGGGAAAGCCCCATAGTCACGAAGACCTGCCGTTCATTGATTTTAACCGGCAACCTAAGCCCCGGGACTTAGAGTGGCGAACCACATGAGGCCCCGATAGGTTAGGTGTGGTAGTGAACCGGACGACAGCACAGCTGCCTACCACCAGTGTTGGGGCTCGAACCATAGAGTCCAAAGCACGCTTGTGACCGCGACTGAACAACTGCGCCACCACCACCCTGGCCTCCAAGTGAGGTTTCGTCAGTGTCTAACCTACCTATTTGCGCGTTCAATTCACCGGCTAGTATCACAATGTCAGTGTGTTGTCTACTATGAAGGAGGTTGGTGAACTGAACGCAGAACTGGTTTTTTTTCCGTCGGAACTGCAGTCTGCCGACGCATAGGTTGTGATGAAGAACAGATAATTTTTTTGGGGTCCTATTACGAGATGTTCTTACCGATCCTTCTGGATGACGCAAAGTAGACTATTGATCAGAATCCAGTCGAGTAACGCTGCTTCTGCACGTTCGCTCAGCGCCATTCCCACGCCAGCCTAACCAACGGCCTCTGTAGTCGGATCTCCAGGGAGGTGGAGAGTGAACGAGCTGGTAGAATCCGGATGCAGTGCTCGAATGCTGTAGGCGTGTAAGACAGCAAAGGTCCATGACAAACGTTTCCAATGGGCTATCGATCGTTTCCTGAGCCATCACGACGAGACTACATCTTGACGTGGTGTGATAGCTTGCGTGCCTCCATGACCCTGCGAGCTACACAGGATGGCTT